AAAAAAAAAAGTGTTTTTAGGGGAAGGTGTTTTCCCCAGGTGATGCTCGGATGCTGTCAGGCGACGGCAGGTCTTCGCCGTGGCCATCGCCTGGATTTCTTGGTGCAAAAAAAAGAAAAAAAAAAACCCAACTCCAACCCCAAGACTGATGCTTTTTGGGTTTTTTTCCCCCAAAAAGATGATTCACAGGCATAAATACTAAAAAAAAAAAAAAAAAAAAAAAAATCAGTGCAAATTCTGCTTCACGTTGCATTTAAGGAGGGTTTCATGCTCTTGACCCATGGGATTGCCCAGGCCTCCCCAATGCTGCGGCCATTTGGTGACTCCGGATGCAACTTGCTGGAAAAGGGAGGAAATTCCCCCAAATCCTTTAATTTATGTGCTAAAAACCCATCGAATCTGGAAAAAACCAAAAAAACCCCAACAAAATCACCCCATCCTCATCCTTAAGGGCTGAGACTGGACGAAGAGTTGGGGGAAAATCTGCTGGGAGCAAGACTTTCCCCTGGCATTTTGGTACCGAGGGAGGAAAAAAAATGGGGGAAAAAAAAGCAGATTTTCACCCCAAAATGGAACAGCGACCCTCAAGATTCGCTCCGCTGGATGGAAATTCAAAATTGTTGCTGGGAAGATCGTTTCTCCCTGATATCGACCATCTGCGTGGGAAAATTGGGGGAGTTTCACCCCAAAAATGAGCCACTGGGGGAGAGCAGCTCTGCAAAAAAAAAAAAAAAAAAAAACACCACAACATATTTGGTTTTTTTTTTTTAAAAAAAGTGGGCAAATTTCACTAATTATGAAATTCCCAAATTTCATCCAACGCGATGCTAAAGGTGATGCAGGATGGAAATTATAATAAAGGAAATTTCTTCTGCAGGTTCCTCCCGTAAACACAGGTTTCTGTCGGAAGGAATTTTTTTGGCTTTTCGTGGCTTTTTGCTGTTTTTTGTCCTTTTTTTTTTTTATTTAAAAAAAAAAATAAAAGGAAGAAAAACAGCAGCTGGGGTGGGGGGGGCGGGAAACAAAACCAAGTGATGCAATGGGCAGAAAAGCCTATTTTTGGATACTGATGTGGCGTGAATGTAATCTGTAATTTCAAAAATACTCGTCGTAATTTAGGATTAATTTGTGGCCATTTATTATAAAGTGCTACGAGATGAGGTTTCGCAGCCGTATTTTCTTGGCAGCTTCTTTCTGCGGGCGTAGAAAGCCCCAAAATGGGTGAAGAAACCCTAAAAAGGGCAAAAGTCCTTTCAAACGGGGGAATCGGACCCCAAAATGGGGGAAATGACCCCAGTCAGCGAGGATGGAATTGGGTGATTCTCCCCCAAAATGTGATGCTCCCCCCACAATGAGTTATATCCTCCTAAAATGGTGATTTTTCCACCAAAACGTAGGGTGCTCATCCCAAAATGAGTGGTATTCTCCAAAAAATGTGATTCTGCCCCAAAATTGGTTATTTTCACCCCAAAATGAGTGATAACCTCCAAAAATGAGTGATGTTCCCCCAAAAAGGAAGGATGGCACCCAGGAGGGGAAATCCCCCCCAGAATGAGTGATTCTCTCCAAAATGTGGGATGCTCACCCCAAAAGGAGTGATATTCTCCAAAAATGGTGATTCCCCCCCAAATGAGTTTTCTCCTCCAAAAATGAGTCATTTTCCCCAACGTGAGTGATGCTCACCCCAAAATGTGCGATAACCTCCAAATACGAGTGATTTCCCCCAAAATGAATTATATTCTCAAAAAATGAGTCAAAATGTGTGATTTTCACCACAAAATAGGTTATATCATCCAAAAATGAATAATTTTCCACAAAATAAGTGATGTTCAGCCCAAAACAGATGCTGCTGCCCTAAAACATGTTACGCTCCCCAAAAATGCGGGATGCTCCCCAAAATTAATTAATTTTTTTTTCAAGTGGTGCCCCCCCCAAAATGATCAATCTTCTTCAACCCAGGATGTTCCCCAAAATGAGCAAATCTCCCCCAAGATGGAAGCCCCCCTCATATTCCCTAATGAGCCCTTAATGAGTTGATTTTCTGGGGAAAAAAAGGGGATTTCTGCCCAATTTTTAGCAGCAAATGGGGCAGCGGAAATGTTAAAAATGGGGGAAAAAGGGAATTTACACCCAAATTTGGCCCCTGCAGTGCTGCAGCCACTTGAGCACCCAGCAGCAGTAATTCTTAATGCATAAATTTGCATAAATTATAAAATAATGACTATCATGAGCACGGCAGCAAAATTTTGCAGAATTTTAGAGAAAAAATAATTTTTTGCTATCGAAAAGTTGCGAAATGCTGTTGGGAGCTGGGGGTTGAAGACGCCGGAGGCTTGTTGCTTAATTAATGAAACGAATTATTTATTTCCAGCTGTGCAAAGGTGGGGGGGTGCAGAAGGGGGCGTGGCGGAGCCGCAGGGAACCCGTTTTCCTGGGGTTCGGCCCCGTTTTTGGGGGGCACCGGGGTTCCGGGGGGTGTGAGGGCGGCGCTGCATCAGGTCGGGCAGAGAACTGCAAAGAGAGAGGGGGGTGGGCTCGCGATGGGGCACGGAGGATGCACAGAGGATGCATGAGGCAGGGGTAAGGGATGCAAAGGATGCGACGGAGAAGATGCAGAAGGATGCAAACAGGATGCACAGGAGATGCATGAGGGATGCACACATGCACGGGAGATGCACAAGGATGCAAAAAGGATGCAGAGGAGATGCAAAAGGATGCAGAAGGGATGCACAGAGGATGCACAAAGGATACACTGGAGATGCACAAGAGATGCATGATGGATGCACACAAGATGGAGGAAGGATGCAAGGGAGATGCCGAAGGATGCAGAATGGCTCCATGGGGGATGCAAAGGGGCACAAGAGCTGCACAGGAGCTGCAGGAAGGATGCACAAGGGGTGCATAGGGGGATGCACGCGGTGAGCAGGTACCTTTGAGGATGTAGTCCGTGAGCAGTGTGGGCACCTTCTCGTTCCCCTCCTTCATGGCAAACAGGACTGCGGGGGGAAATCAAGCCGTTAGCCTGGCCCTGCTGCCCCCCGAAGATCCCTTTGCTCCCCAAAAGCAATGAGGCACCCTAATCGCAGATGCTGCTGCAATGCCACAAAAAAAAGGACTGCACCACAAGTGGCTGCATTGCAATGATGCGTGCAAATTGCAGCTGCTGCAGTGATGCAAAAAAAAAAAGGGAATGCAGAAAAAGGGGGAATGCAAAAAAAAAGGGTGCAAAAAAGGGTGCAAAGAAAAAGGGGATTACACCCCAAATAGGCCATGTTGTGATGATGCACCCAATTGCAGCTGCTGCAGCAATGCAAAAAAAAGGGATGCAAAAAAAGAGGGATTGCATGCCAAATTGGCCATGTTGCGATGATGCATGCAAACTGCAGCTGCTGCAGTGATGCAAAAAAAGAGGATGCAAAAAAAGGTGGATTGCATCCCAAATGGGCTGTGTTGCAATGATGCCTGCAATGATGCAGCGCTGCAAAACGTGCATTCACAGCCTGAATCTGCAGCGATGATGCAAAATGTCCAATTCTGCTTATGAACAGCGGCTTGAGCAAAAATACTCACTGTTGGTGAGCATCTGCAGGTCCTCAACGGAGGGCGGTGAGCCCTTCTTCTCGTAGGGAATCACAGTGTTCAGGTACTGCAAAAAAAAAAAATTGCAAAAACCACCTCGATTGCGCCAATCTACCCTTTTTTTTGCAGAAAATGGGAAAAAAAATTCTGCATTTTTTGCTGCAATTGCATTTAATTTGCAGATTTTTTTTTTTTTTGAGGCATTCATTGCATGCTGCAAAACTACCCCTGCTTTTGGGGTTAAAAAAGGTGATTTTGTGTTTTTTTTGCAAGATGCATGAGCGAGGTTGGAAAATTCCCGAAGATTTTGGGGAGAGATTTGGGTAATTCTGGGGGAAAAAAAAGGAAAAAAAAAAAGGGACCTGCTTCTCGGTGGCGGCGGGGCCGAAGGTCTGGCGCAGGCCGGAGTGCAGGATGCTGGAGATGCCCTCCATGCTGACCCGCTGGGGACACACACGTCACCTTGTCACCTCCCCGGGGACACGGATCCCCCCCGGGCAACCTGCCCTGGGACTGATGTCCTCTCGG